CACAATGCAGAGGATTAACCCCTTATGTTCCACAGTGAGTATAACAAGGATGCTTTACTGCATATACAGACTGATTTTACTGTTGTGGGTTTAGTAAAACTTTAATTTAACAAGCTGAGGTTAGAAGCTGGTTGCTTTCTATGCAGAAGTGAGCCTGATTCTGTACTCTCCAGCTTAAGTAAATAAACCCCAATGAGTGATCAGTACTGAGATTATATTTCTGCTGCAAGATTTCTCATGGTGGGAATTTATGACCAAGTGACCTGTTTGCTCTGTCACCTTGTCCCTCAAACAGACAGTGCACCTGCTGCGGTCGTAGTTGACCTGTTTTGGGAATCAGTACCCTCCATGCATCCTGCAGGGATAGGTAAACATGTGGACCATCCCCCTGGTTATTGGCTGTGAATGGTCAGTGGTTACCCAAATTGTTTCCCTCCTTTACCTTTCCTTCCCTCTCTACAGCCTAAGTGCTGCAGATGCTTTATTTTTGTTGGCATCTCTCTGCTTAGAGTGCATTGTTTATCTGTGCTTCCTCAAGTAGTCTTCTGCACACAGTGAGGGCTCGGCAGCCATGCATTGTGGGGAAGAAGACCTCATAACTTTTTACCTTAGGGCAGGGGTGAGCAAACTTTTTGACTTGAGGGCCGCAATGGGTTCATATATTGGACCCGGGGGCCGGACCAAGAGTAGATGAATGATGTGTATGTGTCATCCATAGTAAGTATAGTAATATTCCCCCATAGTAAGCATAGTAATTAATCCCCCATATAGTAATTCATCCCCCATATAGTAATTCATCCCCCATATTAATTCATCCCCCATATTAATTCATCCCTCATATAGTATTTCATCCCCCACAGTACTGTTCCCCCCCAAGTAGTAAGCCAAGTAAACACTGTGTCAGTTCACTTACCTTTGCTCCGCGAGTCCCTCTCGCCGTGTTCCCGCGCCGTTCCGGTCTTCAGGGCAGACTGTGAGAGGAGCCTAGCTCCCCTCACGTTCGTCACGCTGCCCCGCCTACACACATCCTGACAGCCAATGTATCACACTCCGCGGGCCGGATTAAAAGGTCCGCCGGGCCGTATACGGCCCGCGGGCCGCAGTTTGCCCATTGCTGCCTTAGGGCAAGTATGTGACATCACTCAGAGCTCCCAAGGGGATGCTAGGGGGCTGTTTGCACCACTGTTATGGAACTCTTACAGCTGTGTTCTGCCTGTGGTCAGCCCCATCTCATCTTCACTCTCAGACTCTATCTGTGTTAAATATACACCCACTATGGGTTTGCAGGCATCCACATCACTATGGGTTTGCAGGCATCCACATCTCTCCCTGTTAGATGCCTTTTCTTTGGATGCCCTCATCACTGTTTTTGAAGGGCTTTTTACTCATAAGCAACAGATGCTTACATGTTTTCCAGAAGGACAAGATGGTGCTTTGCCAGAGACTTTTTTTTTTTTTTTGCTGAAGGTGGTGTCTGAATTTCATCTAAATGAGGACAAATATGTGCTGTTATAGTTTTAAAGATTGTAGGTTAGCTACAAGAAATATTAATAAATAATTTTGCACCTAGTGAAAAGATACTAAAACCTAGTGGTTTGCATACTAAACCAAAAAGATTTTATGTTCTGTATGTAGATGTGCTACCTCCTAGGTGAATGAGCTCTCAAATATAACAACAAACGTAAATATTACATACTGTATGTCTCCAAAAATTAAATTGATATAAAGTGCATCCAGTGTAATCAGAAATCTTGCCAATAAAGTACGTCTGTTATATAAAGACAAACTTCATATATACAAGTCCAGTTTGTGTTTAGGGTGAATGTGCTCAGCCCATAAGTATCCAAACATTTCCTTGTGCAACAACTTCCCACCATGCAATAGTGATCTGAGTGAATGCACCACCACAAAAGATTAGCCTCTTACTGAATGAGTTGATTCCAACACAGAAATTAATATGCACTTGTATGAAGTTAAGCACAGCTGGCCATACTATGAACAATCTCCTGGTTCCTAACACCCTGCCAGGATATGTCCTGTAAGAGATATAGTGAATTCACACCACCTCTACACTGGAATGTCCCTCCAAAGAGTAGCCAAAGCAGCCACAAATAGTGTTTATACCATAAAAGCTTGTTTTATTAAAAAAGACAGGCACTTACAAAGTATACAGGAACAGGAGCCCACAGCAAATACAAACGCCGAGATCCCAGTCTCGGCTTTCATGTGACGCAACCAACCTGTTTTATCGCCAGTCAACATCTTCAGGGGTATGGAGCCACATACCCCTGAAGACTCCATACCACTGAAGATGCTGATTAGTTGCGTAACATGTCAGGAGCTAAAAAGCTAAACAGCTCCTGAGCTAGAGTAAACTTTGTGAAAGAATTGCTCCAAAATGGCTGCAGCTACATATTTTAGAGAGACTGTTTTAAGCTCCATTTACATACTGCAGCACAGTGGCTAAATGGTTAGCCCTTCCGCCTGGCAGTACTAGGGTCGTTGGTTCGAATCCTAGCCACGGCACCACCTGCCTGGAGTTTGCATGTTCTCCCTGTGCCTGCGTGGGTTTCCTCCAGGTACTCCGGTTTCCTCCCACATTCCAAAGACAGTATGTGGTAAGTTAATTGGCTCCTGTCTAAATTGGCCCTAGTATGTGTATGTATGAATGTGAGTTAGGGACCTTAGAATGTACGCTGCTTGAGGGCAGGGACTGATGTAAATGTACAATATATATGTAAAGCGCTGCATAAATTGATGGTGCTATATAAGTACCTGTAATAAACAAATAAATAATGCTTAAACCATAAATGTTCATAGCTTGGTCACAGGTTAATTTTAACGTTCTTCTTGCTGAGGCTTTGCCATCTTCTTTTCACTGAGAAAATAAATGTGTAGCTTCACCATAGGTCCATACATTTGCTTGACATTGTATACTTGCCAGCGGAAATGAAATGATGGTATCTAGAGCAATTTAAACTTTGAACTGCTGTGAAACAACGTTAGAAGAAGATTGTAGTATTAGATTATTTTTAAGCTTTTGTTTCAAGTTTTCATATGAAATATCATTGCGAGTCCTTATCACTAGGTAGTCATCTCTTCAATATTTCCAGCCTCCAAGCCTGGTATTTATTTATGTTAATAGATTTAATATTCATATTTTGATGTGTTACAATATGAAGTCATTACATATGGGCTTGTCAATCAAAAGACCATATATGTAGTGTCCCCTCCCCTCAATGAAATTGCTCTGCTAAGCAGTATTGTTTGCCATACAAGGTTCTAAGATCACAAATTATGACGTACACAAGCATCATAAACAGACATCCTAAGAGATGCGATGGGCGCTTCATACACACACACACAGACACTCATACGTACACAAGCATGGCATGAAGACACTATGGTTATTCACAGAACTGACAGACTGGAACAGGTGCATACTCTAAGACAAGAACTCGTCACTTCCGTCTTCTTGCTAAAAACTCAGGACAAGAAGCACCACATGGAAGAGCACATGAGACAACGGCCATGAAAATAAGGGTGACACATCTTTATAACTTCTGTTTTTTATATTTTTGTTTTACCTACACAGAACTGTTCATGATACGTTTTACATTGTTATTTTAAGCCATTGTGTGATAAAATAAAATCACACTTTATTTTTTACTTCACCGACTCTTTATTATTCGCAAATCGCCGATAGACACTAAAGAATTATTATATGTTTCTCAGAAAATTCTACAGCCTTCCAGAAGTAGCTGATGAATAACGGTGACCAGGATGGAAGCCAAACAGTTTGCAATTGATTGAATAGTATGCCAGAGCTTGAGCTAGTTGAACTATTCTCTGTCATGTATGGTGTCACAGGTTCATATGGGTGCACTGGTATGTTCTCTTTCCAGCTAATGTTTGCTGCTTGATCTATCTTGCAATGTGATGAAAGATAACAAGAACAACATGTAAAAAAAACTTGAAATAAAGTGTTACAATATGTTGCATAAATATATGAAGCAAAATAAACATCCATTTCAATAATCTTGAAATGAAAAAAAGGAATATATTTAGTACTCTCAAGCAGTGCATTAACTATGAGTATTCAGACACTGAAGCAAATCTCTTAGGCTTGGTTTACACCTGTGCAGTTTGATTTTGTTCTGTTTCTGCAGTGCTTTTTGTGGTGTGTTTTGCTTTATTACACACGTGTTTTTCACACATTTTTGATGCGTTTTTTTTTTTTTTGGCCAACTTGTAGTTGGGCAAATTAGAAAATGCAAAATGCATCAAAAACACACTACATGATTTTTTTGTAGCATCTACATTGAACCTAAAACGCACCATTTTGCATTTAAAAAAGTCCCTGACCCTTTCCAAAAATGTAACAGCTGCAAAAAAGCATAGATGTGAATGTGTAGGAAACCATGTTAAATGAACTGTAGTGCATTTCTGCAAAAAGCACCAAAAATGCATAGGTGTGAACAAGGCCTTTTGGTCCGGTTCACACTAGAGCTTGGTGGGAAAAAGGCACATTCTGTGCGTATTTGTCGCACTGCATTCAAAATGCACTGCCTTTGCAATCTGATGTGGGTGCCAATCCATTTTTAATGGCATGCTAAAGGAAGATTACAAATGCAGTGCGTTTGCATGCACTAGATTGCATGGTACCACAGTACCATACAATTTGGTGTGGTGCGTTTAAAAAAAAAAAAGTACATACACTAGTTTTTGTGCTTTCCGGTGCCAATTTTTACAACCGAGTCACACTGCAGAGGAATGCACAGGAATGTGGACTGCATTCCTGTACGATTCTGAACCGGCTCTTAAGGGGTCACCTTGTCTCTCTTATCTACATCTTGAAGGCAATTCCTGTAGTCATCGGAAATACTAAGTATTTTCATAGCAGTTGCAAACAAGGCTCTCCTCCTGTTCTTTGAGGACTCCTAGCAGTCGTATGGTCGACTATGACTGTAATTACACCCTTGCACTCAAAATATTATTAGAACAAAAGTTCAATTACTACTAAAATAGAGAGAATACTGTATATTCAAGGTGTCATACAACCTGATGTGTTGAAGTGTTATTTTATATATACAAGTCATATAATAATGTGAATCTATATTGTTTATTTGGTCCCATATACACTTCCAAACGTGTCTATTCTATATATGCTTGAATTCTTGTTTTGTTTTGTTTTTTCCTGTTTTTCAGAAATTTAAATGTAAAGTAATATATATGTTCTTTTCTTTTCCACAGTTTATCTCCGGTGTTTGCACTTTTTGTTCCATTTTATTGTTCAGTGCCACGAGTATCCTTGGCTCACATATTTGGGTGGTTTCCAATCACGAACAAAACATTAGTGTACATCGTGGGATTACAGGTACATTTGTGTTAATTACTTAACGTTTTCTAGCTTTTCAGAACATCTCTTATGCAGTGTATTTTTAGATGTAGTTTTGTGAATATTTATAAGTATAAAAAAAGCACCCAGTGTATGAAAAATTCTCAAAAGTATATGTATTTTAAATGCAATATTGTCATTTTGAGTCATAATGGTTTCCTGACCTGGTGCCCTGTGGAGACTCTTAGTCAGATTTTAGGTATGTTATGTAGGCTGCTTGGATGATCAACATACTACAGCTAGTCTATCTGGCATTCCTAGTGAACTGCTCAGAGGTAAAGGAAGGAGATAGAGGAGACTGATGGGAGGAGTTGTTAGACCCGTCTCTTCTTTCTCTTGGAGAGAATCTGGATCTCTTTTAAAACTGGGATTCATTTACACCCCAACCTAATGAAAGAATTGTTTATGATTAACAGTGCTTTTGCAATCTAAATGTTTTATAAGTCAAAAACATGTTTTTATTTTGTTTAATTTTGTTGCTTCTCAGTGCTGCAAATCTCTTGCAGCTGCTTTCCAACCACTCCCTGTTTATCTACATCCATGCATTCCACTGGTGACTACATAGCATTTTTAGGGTGGGTTTTCTGATGGTGAAAACCTTGGAACATTACATCCTTCCCTCTGTTCAATAGGCAATAAAAGAATCCTGTTCTTAAAGAATTTCCCATTGAAAATGCAGGTCTGATTCCTATATATAAATCCATGAGTTTTCTGGTCCCTATGGGTTGATCTTTGTCCATTCCTTCCGCTTTATGTGTCCATGTCAGTGCTTTTGGACCTTTAGAAAATTATTGTTGATCACACCTAGTATGTTCCGAGACTAGCTAACTCGCCCAAACTCTATTGAATTCATATGACATACCTCTTCTCACAGACATGGCTTTATATAGAAATTAGCTGATTACAGCCTTTCAAGACTGCAAGGTAGGTGGAATGAGTTTCTTCCAGTCTAAAATAAAATTTCCTGATCGTACATTACAGGACACAATCTTATCTAATTCCTTACAACTGGATTATATGCAGCTACCTTCAGCTGATTGGACACTGTCAAAAAAAGTTGCTGGGACGTCTTCTGTATGACTCCTCCCATTCCCAGCTAGCCTCAGTTATTTGATAGTGTCCTTAGGTGATGGATCTCTTCTTTCTACATAAGCTGGCCATAGATGATTGGCGAACACGTTCCTCCATTAACAGCAGCATTGTATTCTCAGAGCTGGACAACCACTAATTGACAAAAGTTTTTCAATGGCCATACATGGATTGAAATTCAGCCAGTCCTTGCTGAACTAGCCAAATTTGTATCTATCCATGGCCAGCTTTACATTTATTTTCGATCTCCCACTGATCAGTGAAAAGTTTTCCAACATTCCTGTCTGACAGAAGTTGATCTACCAATCGACTTCTGTCTGCCACACATGGATCGAAATTTAGCCAGTCCCTGCTGATCCAGTCAAATTTCCATCCATCTATGGACTGCATTAGATATGCTTATCTTCTTTTATGGAGTTTTTTTCATTTCTGTGGATCTTTTCAATGGTGATTCTTCTACTAAGACTTGGCTTCACCATAGTCACTGCGGCTTTTCTGCAGCTACTAGATTGGTTGACTCATTGGCAGAGCCTTGGGGGTGGGGGGGTGGGAGAAAACTCTATCCCGACCCTGGTACATGAAAGATGCGGGTCTAGCCTGTAATGCTACTGTGACACTGGATTCTGACATCCAAATGTTTTTATTCCAAGGTGATTACATCACAGTAGTGATCTGACAGCGGGTATTGTTGGATGGCGGTTCGGTCACCTAGCAGACCTAGAGAGTGGTGTTTCACTGATCGGGCACATCTAACAGATATACTGTACCCAGTTGAGTGATATGATTATAGTAATGCTAGTATTGGACAGCTGCAGCATCCAGTGCCTTTTTATTGCAGATTGTTTCTATGCATGTGTTGAGGAGAGGCAAGGGTATTTACTATTGTCTGTTTACTTTTCAGTACTTTTGGCAGAATTTATGATGCTATATGATTTCATACAGTAGGTGGCTTTCTACGCAATGTAAATGATTGGTGGATGGTACTTTAAATGTTGTTGCATTTCTGTATGCACTCTTCCACTACGATGTGATCACTCTGAATTAAAATGTTTGGATGTTACGTGAAGATTCTCGGTGTGCTGGCAATATGTACATTAATCTGTTACCAGGTTCCAGCTGACAGTTGCTGCAGCACCCGTCTACCTCTTAGCTAACTCCAGGAAAATGATCAATGGAAATATTGTTTGTTGTGGATCCAGCAGTGGGGGATGCATTAGGCTCATAGTGCAACATGCAGAGTTATCAAAGGGTGCTTTACAGGTTTAGAGCCATGGTCCTCCTGCTGCAGAGCCCAGTCTCTGAAGACACCAATGCCAACATGCCCACCACAGAGGGTAAAGCCAGGAAGGGGGTTAATTTCCCTTTATTCCTGTAGCTTGTATGTTAAGTCAAGGCAAAAGCCTTTTAACCCTTCATTTCAGGGTGCCTTTGTGTATTTTTCCTCTTTGGGGGATCTACTACTGCTGTTCCCCTGAGAGTGTAGTGTGAAAACTAGTATTTCTGGAGAACATCTGTGGTGGCTCTGCTGCTTGTGCAGCTCGTCTTGCTCTAGAGGTGGTTTCTGTGCCTACGTTTCTCTTCCCTGCCTCTTCGGTCGCTCTCTAATTCACATCTCCTGCTTGCATGGGGCACAGTAAGCAGTGATGTTTCTTTCTCCTGGGTCTGCAGGCTACTGGTGCTTGCATTGAGACACCTTTGCCCTTTGAATGAGGACATCTTATTGGCGAGGCACTTTACAAATTCATGAAATATGTCACAGGAGGAAAGGTTCTTTTTATACAGCGAAAAGTAAAAAAATCCCCTTCCTAAGCAGCCTTTACCTCCTCAAAATGCAGGGCACCTCCTTGCTCTACCCAGACATTATTATTATTATTATACAGGATTTATATAGCGCCAACAGTTTGCGCACCGCTTTACAATATAAGGGAAACGTACAATTATAATACATTTCAGTACAGAAGGAATATGAAATTCTAAGCCTAAATTCAGCCCTTTGTTTTGGTGCAAAATTGCTCTCATTCTTAAGAGTGGGAGAATTTAAAGACTTGTGGATTAAATCGGTCGTTTCAAAGGGGTGCAAAATATATTGTTTAAAACTCTACTCCCTCACTGCTTTCTTCTCAACCAAATTCTTCCCTAAGGAATTTTCTCAAGGACAGTCAGATTTGCAGAATGCCCTGAAACATCTCATGTGCCAGTACATGAAGAGGACAGGTACAAAGGATTCTTTTCAAACCTGTTCAAAATACCAAAGCTCAACGGGAGTATTCTTCTTATCCTGAACCTAAAATCTCTACCTTAAAATTCCAAAATTGCACATGGAATCCTCAAGGTCAGTTATTACCTGAAACAAGATGACTACTTGGCATCCGTAAACATCCAGAATACTTTCCTGCATATTCCCATTTATCTACTTTTTCAGCATTTTCTACACTTTGCAGTAGGACATAATCACTTCCAGTTTGTTACACTGCCAATTGGACTATCCTTTGAGTATTCTTCTTGCCTTTCAAAGAACACAGGGCATCCAGGTCACAGGTTAGCTAGATGACTTTCTGAGGTACTCATGTTCATTCCAGCCATCTGCGAATGACCACCCAGGACAATTCAGATGCTTCAGTTTGGTTGTGTGGTTAACTTCCAAATTTTTACTTTTTTTACCTGCTCTTTACCTGGAATACTTGGGCCTAAATCTAGACTCATCCCAATCAACAGTCTTCATTCCAGAGAAGAAACTGTGCTGTCTCAGAACTCATGCTCGGGACTTGAGATCAAAGAGATGCCCCTCTGTGAGTTTCTGCTGTCATGCAGTTCGAGGTCTCATGGTGGCCTCCTTCAAAGCTGTTCCAGTCACCCAGTTTAATTTGAGACACAATATCTTGTTGGCATGAAACAAGCAGACTATTTCTCCATTCACCCAATTTCATTTGAGACACGATATATTGTTGAATATTTCTCTCAACCTACTCATGCTTCTGTCCAAGCAGGGAATTCCCTAGCTTGGTAGATCTCCAGACCAGCCTTAATAATGGGGAAGTTGTTCCTTTTAATATGACTAGAAAGTGATAATGAGAGATGCCAGCTTTTTTGGCTGTTCCAGTCCCTCACAATTCTGGGAACAGGGTCATTGATGAAAGCTAAGTTAGCTATCAAGCTCAGAGCAATAAGGATTACTGTGTACCAAGTCGGTTGGGGTTGCTGGCATTTTTGCTACTAAGCCTCTGTTGCCCAGATTTGTAAGGTTTTCACCTGCTCCTCTGGTTATATCGATGCAAAGTTCTTCTAAATAAAAGATTTGTTCAATCATCTTCAGGTGCAGCTTTTCGCTCCCAAGCTTCTTGCAGCGGTGGTACAGTACAGGACATGGGGCACCCTTCTGGGTTACTCTTCATTGCTTATAGCCTATAACCCATGGTCTATGATTACTCAGCCTTAGTGGTGCTCCGAAATGAAAATTCTGGTGCCGAAACAGAAAATTCAGGATGCACTTGGCCGAAAACTGAAACAGACAGATTTTAAAAATGAATATATTTTTCAAATGCAATTTTGTGGAAAAAAATACACTTTAATGAGTAAAAAAAAACCACAATATATATCCAATTTTTTTGTAAAATTTGAAAGATGATGTTATGCCAAGTAAATAGATGCCCAGCCTGTCATGCTTTAAAAATTTTCATGCTCGTTGAATGGGGCCAAACTACAGTAGTTAAAAATTTCCATGGGTGACGTGCTTTAAATATTTGTACAGGTTACCAGTTTAAAGTTACAGAGGAGTTCTAGTGCTAGAATTATTGCTCTTGCTCTGATGTTCGTGGCGATACCTCACGTGTGGTTTGAGCACTGTTTACATATGTGAGCGTGGCCTACATATGTATTTCACCACTACGTGC